AATATGAAAATCTAACCTTAATTTAGAAATTACCGGCAATACAAAATCCGGCCACCTAATTGTTAACCTTAGCCGAACGAAAAGACCGTCGGTCCTAATAACAGTTACATTGCTATAGGTAAATTATAGATATAATGGTAATCTCATTCTGCAAGTTTTTGTGATGTTTAACACATGCACAATAAATAAAATATCTAACTATAGTCGTGAGAAAACTTTTTATTGAGTTGACATAAATAGTACACATCAAAATCAAACAAAAACTTGATTTTCAAGGTTTTGAATTTATCAATTTATAAAATTGGGCATTAAATACAATTTTATTTTTAGTAAATATATAAATTTAATAGGCATCTGAACTTACTTTAGACTTCGTGGTAACTTATCATGAAGTTAAAGTCAGATTAGAGTATAAATAGATTTTATAATTAAAGCGCAATACTGCAAATCGATAGATTCAAAAACTTGAATATCAAGTTTTTATTTGATTTGCCGAACACTAGAATAAAGTCATAGGTTAAGCAAATATATGGTCTAAATTCGGAAAACTAAATTTCTTATGGCGTAAATCAGGTGTAGGGCGGTAAAACCGTAACTCCTGCAGTCTGTGGCCAGTCTAGTCTTTATAGGTCGGACCAAAAAGACTATTGGTACTAATTACAGGAGCGACCGTCGATGTTACATGACTGGTTTTTCATGCGGTGTGAAACACATAAAAAAATTATTTTACAATACTTGATCGGACTTGATCAGTCAGTTAGTACATGTTATGATTATAATCCCACACCATTTTTTATTATAAAAAAATGGTGTGGGATTATAATCATAACATGTACTAACTGACTGATCAAGTCCGATCAAGTATTGTAAAATAATTTTTTTATGTGTTTCACACCGCATGAAAAACCAGTCATGTAACATCGACGGTCGCTCCTGTAGGTACTAATATGGTTAGTATTAAATCATTGTAACGAATATATATAGTCTAATTTTTTGTGACTTGGGTTCGGATTATTAGCACTATTATAAATATAAAGTTGATCTTTAGAGACTTAGACAACGATAATAAATTTAAAAAATTTAAATCGGATTTTTTCTTAATTATAATAACAGGTCTTCTTTAACAAGAATTAGATATACAAATCCAATATTTTTAACTAAAATGATTGTAAAAATTTACTTACAGTACAGAGCTCAAAATTCATGCATTGCCATCACTAATAATAATAGACAGGTTTTTGATTAGAGGTGGCTTTTATGCAATTAAACGAGTAATAAACTAATAATTTGAATGGAGTCTATAATAATAATACGTAATAATTAACATGTTGGTGCAATTTATGTGGCATTTAATTAGTATAATAATCGGTCCGTCCAATCTCATACTGATCAGTCCTAATTGGTACTGGACCGCGGTCTGGTCCAACTTTTTAAAAGACCGCCGGTCTTTGGACCAAGACGGACCGGACGGACTGATTAACAGCCCTAGCTATAATATAATAGTTTCCAAGTATAATAAGAAACTTTCATGATTTATTTGATAAAATCGCCAATGCTAACAAACGTGGATAAAGATAGCAAGGACTCTAAAATAGGTAAATAATAATTTAATAAGTATATAAATTATGATAAAATAAAGAATCACTTATTAAATTACCTTAAACTAAAAAATATAATATTTATAAAACTAAATTTATTAAATTCTGTAAAAATCAAAAAAAAAATTATTTTGAATATTACATATATTCGTGTTAACCTTCTAATTCTCTCCACCATGACCTTAAGCACATTGCCGCCTGGACAGTTTTTCCATCTAATTGATTTCGCTTGTTGGTTATCATATCACCACTAATGCTGAACATTTCTTCACTAGGAACGCTGGTAGCAGGTATTGGAAGACAATCTCTAGCAAATTTTGCAAGGTGTGGGTAACCTGCTTCATTTGCCCGCCACCATTCTAAAATATTTGTATCCTGTTCCATAAGTGGCATCATCAAATATGTATCAAGCTCACTTTGACTTTCTGTACGTGTTCATTTGTAGATTCGTGATACTATATTTTTGGGAGACTCAGTAGTTGTGCTTGCTGTTTCTTGATTAGGAAGAGGTGCGTATTGACTTTCATATTGATCTTTAACACTTTAAAGTAATATTGTGAAATTAATATAAATAGTGTTATAAATAAAAAAATCTATTTATTTAATTTAATTTTAAGTGATCTGATTGAATAGTTATTAAATACAAGTCTTAGATAAAAAAACACAAAGTTCTACTTTATAACCATTTTTACTGACCTCACGACTTATTTTTTTTTCAAAAATTATTACTTCTATACATCATCGATTAATAGAATGTTTTACACCTTCTAATACCAATTTACTTAAATTTGTAAGCCATCTATTCTTGTAATAAGTTGTTCCATGGCTATTGTATTTTTGTAATGTTTAATGACTTATCATATATATTATCAATGATCTATTAAATATATTGCTAATACTGAACTAACATAAAAAAATTTAGAACTCTTAATTCTTTGCATAGAAATAATTATATATATGAAGATAAAATTCTTACCAAAAATAAGTACTTGTTCTATTACTATGTACTGAAAATTAAAATAAGCTGCTATTCTGTCTTACATATCATTATTTTATAGAATTTTAATTTTTTGTATTGTAGCACTGTACATATATACGTATATATGTCATACATACATACATATATATACATATATATGTCATACATACATACATATATATACATATATATGTCATATATACGTATATATGTACTATACATACCCAAAATACTACTACAATCAGATTACTAAAAATATTACTTGTCTTACTACTATCGCTATACTATACGTTTTATATTTACATTTCTTTAATTTGAGAAATAAGTTGAGACGACCATTTAAGACCTTCAAAGTATTCAATTTTGAGCCGTGGATCTAATACAACAGCTGCAAGGTGTAATTAATTTGTTTTTTTACAATAATTGAGAAGTTTGTTAGTTGCAGCTTCACATCCTTGCTTAAGCCATCCTAGTATATTGTTTCATTGTTTAACTTTGTTAAGTGTTCAAGTAATGTATGATAAAGAGGAACAACCAATGATAGTGTTGGATATGTTGAAGATGACATAAATGTAGATGCTAAATTAAATTAATTAAGTAAATAAATAGTTTTATTTATATTAATATATATTACAATACTTATGCTAACCATCTTTAAAAGGCATTAAAACTTCAACAAGAAGTTTTATTTTTTCCCACTCATCTTCAGCTAATATATATTAATGCAGTTCTATTTCAACGAAAGACATAGCATCCAATACTGTTCGTAATTCCAACGCTCGCTCACACATATAGTTGTTATATCTAGAATAGGTTTCAGCTTACTAGATAATTTTAATTTTTTGTGGCGTATTTGTGATCCTCTAATGCTTTTAATTAATTCTTGTAACTAATAGAGAAATATAGTAAAAATAAAAAGTAATACAGTATGTTATCTTCGCTTCATAATAATAATTATACAGTAATAGTACCTTTTCTAATTTAGGTCCTACAAATTTTAAAAGACTTTGGGCAGCAAGATTTAAAATATGACCGAAGCAGCGTATTGATTGTTGCGCATCATCAAATATAAAACCAGCTACTAACATAGAATCAGAAAAATCATTTAAAAACTTAACATTAGCAGATGCATTATCGCATATTATTGATATTAATTTTGAAATAACTCTATTTTTTGTTAAACAATCCTCTATTGCATTCGCAATTTCGAGACCTGTATGCAACCCATCTATAAAATAAAATTGAGTAAAAGATGCTTCATATTCCATGATTTATTCAAATAATGAATTGTGACAGCCATAAACGATTTTTCATTAGTAGAGGTTGTCCAAATATCAGTTGTTATCACTACACGTCCAGAAATTTCTTGCATTCTTCTTTGAAGTTGTCTACGCTCTTCTTCAAAACTGTTCATAACATGCCGCTTTATAAGATCAGTGGAGGGTACTAAATAGCTCATATAAAACTCAATATTAATTAGAGTTTATATATAAATTAAATAAAAATATTTATATAATTTAAAACAAAGCTTATACGATCTAAAATTTATATATATAATAACTTTTATTTTATATACTAAAATATTTATTTATTTATTATACAGTATAGATATGTATTCATATTTTATTATTAAGTTCTATCTTTACCTACTGCACGGGGTTTCAAGTAAGTAAGTATTGATTTAAGTTCTTGATCTTCTATAATTTGAAATGACCAATTATGCTTTACAATCTATTTTTTTATTATTATAGTAAGTTTTTGTTGACTGAAGAGTTTATGATGTTTTTTTTGGTTATTCAACATATTCAAAACGGTGATACTCTCTTTTGCTTCTAACTCTTTTAGTTCAGGGACTTTACCCTTATATATTATTTTAAGGTGCTTTAGAAGGTTTGATGTTGTTCTATGATGTTAAGTTAACTTTTTGTTACAAATAGAACACTTCACTTCTCCTTTCCCTTTTTCAAAATATTTACACACAATAGATCTATAAAAATTTAAAAAAATTAATAAATAATAAATATTATATATTTAATAATAAAACTCTATATTACTTTTCTGCTTGCGATGATGGCTCATTCAGGCAAGATTCATCTTGGGGTTAATCAGGATATAATTCATTTTGATTTGATTTATTTTGATTTGATTTATTTTGATTTGATTTATTTTGATTTGATTTATTTTGATTTGATTTATTTTGATTTGATTCATTTTGATTTGATTTATCAAGATATGATTCAGTTTGGTTTGATTCTTCAAAGTGCAATTCATTTTGATTCGAATTATCTGAAAATATTTCATCTTGATATGTTTCATATAGAGATAATTCATCATCGTATGGGAATTGCGATTCTTGTTCTTGTGACATGATTGATATTAAGGTTTTTTTTTTCTTTGTTTTGTTTCACTTCTTGAGCTTTTTTCTAACACTAATAGATGTTTTTGTATGAAAGAAAAAAAAAAGATCGCAATACGATCAAAAAATTCTTAGTAATAAAGAAAAAAATTCATTTTATTTTAATTTAAAAAAAAAATCAAAATGGAAATTTTCAACATTAAAAGATGGCTAAGCAAGAATACGTATGCCAGGGGCAAACTGGTTAGGCTTTTAAATGCAACCATTAATTCTAATCATCATATGAGAAAGCATATGAACACCGCAAACTTTCAATTATATTTTGTGTACAGTTAGCCATCTATGGAATATGATAGATTTCCATAGATGGCTAACTATACACAAAATATAATTGAAAGTCCGATGACAAGTTTTCTTTCACATTTAATAAGTGCTTAATTTGGAACTTGATCTAATTATGTACTAAACACGCTACAAGATTAATCTATCGATTGAATATTGCACATTTATTACAAAATCATTTCACTGAAGTGGCACCGTTAGCTCGATGAATATTTCGAAAAAAAGAACTTCCAAAAAGAAGATTACAAGCTTTTGTGTAATAATAACGGATCCGAATATTATTCGATCGAATCTCTGTTTGGATTCGGATTTGCGGGATCTGCAAATCATGGGATTCGAGATGGATTCGCGGATCGAATCCGAATCTCGAATCCATTTTGCGGAACACTACATAATACCGACAAAGTTAGCCGGCACTAGTTATAATGCTGGCCAATTTAGTCAGGGTTATGTTTTTTCGATAATCTGTTGTTCGGGATTTTGACCCAAAATCAATAAAATGGTAAGAGCGTAAATCTTGTAGCAAAATTTTTTTACGGTAAATTACAATAAGAATTTTTATCTTAATTTCAATACAAACTGATTCAATCTAACCACAATAGTAGGTAGGTTTTGTACAAAATTCTTTACAGAAAATGGGTGTGATTCAAATACAAATTAATTAACCTTAACCACATACTTTATGTCACGATAGCAAATTTCGTAAATTATGATAGAATTTCTAATACAAACCCAACAACATACTTTATCACCGCAATAGTTTGTAAGTTATACAATGAAAGTTTTTACAGCAAGTCATGATAGAATTCATAGCAGTTAATTCTGATACAAACCAACTCATAAATCATGATAAGATTTACGATTGCAATTTCAATATAATCAATTCAGCTACATATTGGTAAGTTTTGTAACAAAAATTTTTATAAGAAATCATGATAGAAATCATGACTGTAATTCAATACAACTTAACTATATTCTGTGTCATCATAATAGGGTGTATGCTTTCAAACAAATTTAGCAGGAACAGAATGCAACAAAGCGTATGGTATATACCGTACCGTGTGAAGTGTTTCTGACAAATCTGTGCTTTTGATTGGATGTCCCTTTTACGACATGCATCTTATGATCATGTATCGCTATACTAAATTTGTTGATGAAATCTATAATTTAAGCAGTTCCCTGTTTTTTTCTATTTTAAATATATTTGTAAACAGCCACTTACATACAACTTTTATTAGTTTGTGACTTTTTTTTTTAATATTTTATTAATCAACGTTATGTTAGATGTAGGAACGGAGTTTTACAGAAATAAAACAAAAAGAATGGTTTTAGGTCCTGAAAAAGACTGGTCCGGACCGGGACCGATAAGGACCGTGGACCATTAAAGAACCGGTCCTTGTGATATTGGTATCACCCAATCAACTTTCTTTGTTTACATCTGATAGTAAATAATTACGCCATTTTTGGCCAATAAATTCTTATGAATTAACGTTAATGGTAGAGGATACGTAGATCACTTATCATATGATTTTGGTGGTACCGTATAAACGCGAAATAACGCGCAGGGGTGTAATTTCAAAATTTGGCCTAAATTAAGCTTAATTCGGGCCATTCATCAAAATAACGCTCCTGGGCGTTATTTTGCACTATACGGTACAAATAATTTTATATAGAAACTAGTGCGATAGGTGGCACATTCGCGCCACCCATCTTATTTGGTAATTAAATTATACTATAGTAGTTAGCTATTATAAAAAATTATATTACAGAACATATCAACAATCGTGTATATAAACGCGTATGTGATTAAGATACATTAGAATTCTTTCATAAAATACTGTAAAAGTTCTGTTACAAAATTTCTCACTATTCTAGTGACACAATGTTTGCTGAGCTGATTTTTTTTTATTAGAATTATCGTGATTTCTTCAGTTAATGATGAGTTAGTTTTATTGAAATTACAGTATTATATTTTATCATGTTACTGTAAAAAAATTCTGTTAAAGCTTACTCGCTAACCAGGGTAATCACATGTGTTAGATCGAGTTAGTTTGTCATGTTCAATTTATCATTTCAACCTTTATGCCATGTGTCTGGTATTTTCAGGTAAATATTATGATAACGTATGATCGTTGAAATAGAATGTGCTGCAAGGTAAAAAGGCCGTTCAGACTTTCAATTATATTTTGTATACAGTTAGCTGTCTATGGAAAATTTATCATTATAATAGATTTTCCATAGACGGAAAACAGTATGCAAAATATGATTGAAGTCTGAACAACTTTTTTCCCTTGGCAGCACTCATATTATGATGAGGTTCCTAAAAGTAATGTATTGTCAATTGATCAGTTATTAATAAGCGATGCAAGGACCTCTTTTTTGATGATTAGGCACCGCAAGTCCTCACACGTCGGGTGATTAGACTCTGAGACTAAAAGAGCAAAGCAGAACCCGTATCTGTAAAGAAACTCCGTGGTAAGCATAGAGATGGGCCGTATGCATTATGCAGACGATGTTGCATGCTACATAATGCTGCATAATGCCTAAAATTTAAAAATGCACATAGAAGTTATTATGTAATTTTGATCTATGTCATTTCATCGATAATCACTTTATAGACACTTGTTACTATCAAAATCAATAGCCTGTGAAAGCCAATAAAAAATAAATCTACCAGGTCTGTTTCCACTATATAAGTCTAAAGTTTATGTTTTTGAATACGATAACCTCTCAGTAATAATACAAAGTCCTGTTCACTGCATATAAGTTATGATAGATCCACAGTATATTATACGGAATTACATAATGCATTATGTTCATTATCGTTATGTGATGTAAAGCCAAAAAACTTGCATTCGCACGTCTCTAAGTAAGTAACGCGAGAACCCACTAGGCTCCGTGACAATAGCAGTACAAGGGACCTTTCATTTGATACTCAGCACCGATAGACTATAAAATATTTTTTTTGGTGATTGAGCTTCGTGGTGTGGGGTCCGGAACGGGCCCTAATAATAAACCATGACAAATGATGAAATAGTTTCATGAGGACAAAACCATTTCATCAGGCAACCTTAAATGACGAACTCGTGACGACAAAATACATGACGAATGGACGAAATCATCATTTGGACTAATGATAAGGGAAGTAAAATGAGTTTTCTTTTAGAAACCTGTGCACGATCGTACTGGTCCTGCGCGTAGAGATGGGCAAATCGCGGTTTTTTCAAAAATCCCGCGCGGGATAGGATTACCAGTATGTAGACTTTTTAATTTTTGCATTTAATAAAAAAAAAACCGTACAAAATTTATTATTGAAAAATTAATTTTCTTGTTCGAATTAGTTATTTCTTATAAGTCTTATTTTTATAAATAAATTAATTAGAAATTGCCCAGATAGTTACAGCTACTTTCATAATTCCTGGAACACCTGATAAAAATTGCCCGAATGATTTTTCGGCCGATCCGGTTAAGTTATTGATTTCGGCAAGATCCATATAATAATAAAAATAATAAAGCTATTTTGGTATCATAATGATAATTTTACAATCGTTATAATAATGTCAACTTTTTAAAATTTTCGTTCAAATGCTTGTCCAACATGTTTGGTGTGCTTAGTTTGTACAAAAATTATGGAAAAGACTGCTCTTGTCAACTAATAAACCTTAATAAAAAACGTAAAAAAAGATCCGAATATAAATTAGACTTTTATAACAATATATATTACAGGAATAGATGCGCTATTAAAAAAGTTAAATATGAACATGAATTTGTTGACTGGATTAAAAAATGAATCTCTGGTTAATATTACAAACGACCAAGATATTATTAATATTCGAAATCCAAGTGAAAAATTTTATATGTTTATATATTTTTCGTCTTCGACAAGAAACGAAAAATAGTTAGAAATAAATAAATGCTTTCGTTTGAACGATGCCAAAGAATAGGAATCGAAATTTAGGTTAATTTTTTAAAAACGAATTTTCATTTTCGACAATAAACGAAAATAATTAGAAATAAATAAATGACTTCGTTTGAACGAAAATGGATCTTGCCAAAGAATAGAAATTGAAGCTTTATACAACTAATTTTCGTCGAAAAATAATTAGAAATGAATAAAGGCTTCGTTTGAATTAAAATGGATTATAGGAATTGAAATTTTACACAATTTTTTAAAAAACGAGTTTTCGTAGAAAAATAATTAGAAATGAATAAAGGCTTTGTTTGAACGAAAACAAACCTTGCCAAAGAATAGGAATTGAAATTTTATACAATTTTTTAAACCCGAATTTTCGTCGAAAAATAATTAAATGCATTGTTTAAGCAAAAATGGATCGAGCCAAAGAATGGGATTGAAATTTTACGACTTACAAGTGCGCATGTCAATATTTAGTTCTATTGTAATATATTAGTAGGGATGGTAAAAAAACGTTTTAAAACATTTTTTATATGTTTTTAATTGGTTTTAAAAAAGTTTTAAAACATCAAAGCTAATGTTAAAATTTAACTGAAGTTAAAATTATTGCATTTTTGGCCGGTAAATTTTGGGACCAGCATTAAACGCTATATTCTTTGATCGATTAAAAAACATTTTAAAACATTTTTAAACAATTAAAAATAGAACAATCATCAGTTCTAAAATCATGTCTTAAAACATTTGCCATCCCTATATATTAGTCACTTGATCTTATTAAATTACGTATTAGTATTTGATATATAACTTAACCGGATCGGCCGAAAAATCATTCGGTCAATTTTTATCAAGTGTTCCAGGAATTATGAAAGTAGCTGTAATGCAGGCCAGATATTATATTAATGCCGGCCAGATGGTTTGATAATGCTGGCCGGACAATTTTATTTGGGATCATATTAAAATTCCCGCGCGGGATTACGCGCGGATCACGCGCGTGCCCATCTCTACCTGCGCGGCGTCAAGCGCTGCGCAGCTACCCTTATATTGATAGATTTGATAATCATATGTGGATGGTCGGAATATCGCGGTAGATACAGATTTGGCAATCATGCAGATGATCGATAATGTTGCAATAGTTACAGATTTCGAGATTCCGGTGATATACAGGATGTAGGCTGACGTTAAGATTGACATGGCCGGATTAGTGTTACCGGTTTTCTGATTAAAATAGCTAAATTGGTGGATCTAGTGATGGGACCTCCGAGTTTTTAGTTAATAACGATAATGAAAAAATTAATAATGCGTTATTAATATTATTAATAGTTAATAACTTCGATCAACGCTAATAATGTCGATATAATGAATCAAATTAACTATCAACGAAGTCCCAACACTAGGTGGATCTATATTTATCCGAGTTAATATTAGACTATCGGGTGATCTCCGAATTTCTATATAAGGTTTCGATTGTTACCGCTGATCGTAAGACTTTTCCGGATGGTGATCGAATTTTTATCTAGTCGTTTTTACCATGTGTGGTCGATCGGGTTTCGTATTCAAATTGTTTTCCTTGAAGTTTTTGGTATAATATCGGATTTTCAAGTATCTTTGATAGGTTCGGGTAGTAAGGTAATTAGAATGCTATTCATGGTCAGTCTGAGGTTCAAACATCAAAAGGTATTTTCCTCCATTAAATCGGTCTCTAATCTTTTTATATCCTGTAATTATGCTTTTATTAAAGCTTATTTCTTGGTGGAGTTGTTCATTTAATTTTTCTAATTTTTTAATATCCGTTGAAGTAAATAATCCGTATGGTAGGTTTTTAAATTCTTGAATAAATTCTTCTTTTGTATAAGGTTCGATATCTTCTTCATTATCAGAGTCAATAAATTGGAATGGTGTCAGTTCTTCTAAATCTGTAAGTGATTCATCATATTGGTTATCAATATTTTTGAATGCATTTTTCGTAGTTTTAATATGCCAATAAATTGTATTAATATTGTCTCGTATCATTGGTATGAATTCATCATTTTCAAGTATTTGTTGTACTTGATTTCTATCGTATAACATCCAATCGGTATGCTTGTCTGTTTTCAAATTTATCAAGGGTTGGTCGTAAGAGTAAATAAATAATTCTAAAGTTACTTCATAAAGTGCTTAATAGGGTCACATAGGTTTGAGATATATTCTTCTTTACTAGGGCAGATATATGACCATATTTTAATAATTTCAATTCATCAATTTCAATTCCTCCTTCTTTGAGTATTTCTCATTTTTGTGCTTTTTAATTGTCTTCTCCGATTTTAGCTTTTCGATTGTTTTCTCTAATTTTAGCTTTTTCTCCTAATGCTTTGTATTTTAAATAGAAACATTTGGTCGAGTATATACTTTGAGCTAAGTTTAAGTATATTTCCCCAGATACAGGGTCGTTTTAGAACATTAAGCATTGGTTAATAAATCGTTGAGGTAATTCATAATTCAGATTTTATAGGTCTAAGTTTCAGTTCAGAAAATAATCAGTATGCATTAATTTTTGCATCATCTTTTTGTCTCCAATTTCTCATGATGTTGATATTCTGTTATTAGTTCTACAATCTAGTCATGTTTTAAAATACATTCCTTCTCATGTTGGTTTTGGTTTAATTAATTGGTCTTTGTTCTTTTGAACTATATGGTGTGTACATGTTAATTGTTAATTGGTCTAGATTTTCTTGAGTTTTCTCAAGTTGCTTTTCTTTAATTTGTATCTAGATTTTCCTTTGATTTGCTTGTCTGCATTTATTACAATTTTTATATCCTTTCTGTTGGTATTTAGGTTTTTCAAATAGGTCATGGCATGATCAACATTTTATTATTGTATTCATTTTTAAATAATTTAATAATTTCTCTTTGATTTAAAGGGCTTTTTTCTCTGTTTCTACACTTACACAAGTTCTAAAATTTTTTGTTATAATTGTAAAATTCTAAAACTTTAACAATAATTTCATTTTATTCCATAGTTCTATTTTTTTTAGATCCTGTTTCCTTTTTAAATTGTTTTAATGTTTAGTTTTTTCATTGTACCTTTATATTCTTGTAAACTATTTCTTGTATATAGTTTTTAGTTTTTCTATAGTCATAACAATTTCTATATTTGTAATTAGAATTATTTTGAGTTTTGAATATTTCTCATTTGAATTCTATAATTGGTTTCAGATAGTAGCAGTTTGAACAATATTTTACTAAGATTTTTCTTCTAAGAATTGTTGCAAAAGTTTTAATTTTTTTTAAATTGTAATTTCATAATACTTGTTGTAGCACTGGTTACAGCTTTTGAATTGATAGATGAATTTGTTTTTAAAGTTTTATCTAAATTTGAGATTTGATTTTTGGTATAAACAAATAGTATACTTTTTATATGTTTAAGTATGTATATTTATGAAATACTTCACAAGCTATTATTGAATAACTTTTGTTAAGCAATAAGTTAATATATACTGTTGTTTTCTATGATGTACCATAGATACACAAAGTGATATGTTTTGAGATTTAGTGATTTAGTGTTCTAGTGTTTTAGTGTTTTAGCGTTCTAGTGTTGTAATTTGGTAGATCTACATCATGTATAAATTACCTTCTTGATGTACATATAAAATAATAACTATAAATGCATCAAAAAAGTAGCATTAACATATTTTCTAATATGGTAATAAACCTGATTTGTGTTTTAGTGTTTTAGTGTATTACAGATAGGCCTCCGCATGGGCCAGGTAGGGCTGGGTAATAGCAATACCCTAACTCTACCCATTTGTGTAAGAACTAAATTTTTAAGCCCTTACTCTACCCTAGAGCCCAAATTTTAATACCGTTGGGCCCACGGGTACCCGTGAACTATCCATGGGCCTAACTTCGCTATATTCAAAATTACAAGCACTGCTTGTACGTAGTAAAATAAAACCCACCTGGAATTAAATTTATTAACCGATAATAAATATAATATTACGGTTCATTATTAAATGACGGGTTAAGGAAACAGGTTCGATTTTTAAAAGGTAAGTTATTTTGTTGCTTTTATAATAAATTTAATGGGTTTATTGAACTAATTTGTTGTTTAAAATTAAAGTTTAAAAGTCTTATGACATGTAAATGAAACTTCAATAAGTTCGTAATATATGGAATAACTAAAAATACAGAAACCAATGAGAGCCTTATAAATATTTAAGAGAGAAATTTAGCAAACTTACATGGCAGACTAAATTACAAATACTTAAAGATATTTTACTTGAGTTAGATTATATTCACTCAGCAAAATATATTCATAGTGGTAATATTTTGCAAGGCCAATATACTAATAAAGATATATGATCTTATATCGCAGATCTAGGATTGTCTAGTAAGAATGATGAATGTATTTTAGAGGGCGATATATTTGGAGTTTTGCCCTATGTTGCTCCAGAAGTTTTATCAGGTAAAGAGCAGTTTACACAAGCAGCAGATATTTATGAATTTGGTATTATTATAGTAGAAATGTAAGCTGGACAAAAGCCTTTTGACAGTTATCAACTTAATAAACTTGCAGTAAAGATTTGCACTGGATTACGCCTGGAGTTTGCTTTCTGAACTCCTGGCTGTTATGTAGAATTGATAAAGAAATGTATGAATTCATAATAAGAAATGCCGCAAAAAGAAAACCCATCATCTGGGTTTCAAATTTATTGCTTATCGGGAACTAATGTTCTAGTCTCTGGAAGGTATTCTGCAAGAGCAATAGCTTCTTTAAATTTTTGAAGTTGAGAGTTACTATGTTTGCAGGATGGAAATTAAAAATTTTTTAAATAAGGTGCCTTAATTGTGTATTTGATAGAAAAAAATATTGTTTGCATTTATAAAATTTAAATCCTAGGTAGGTTTTTTCTTTTTCAAAAAACCACAGTGGGTATACAATAAACAACTAATGGGTACCTATAATACTACTCTAACCCTACCCCGTTTGTGTAAGGGCTTTATTTTTAAACCCTTACCCTACCCTAGGGCCCAGAAATTAATACCCTAACCCAGCCCTTATGGTACTATTTATGGATATCTATGGATAGCCCAGGCCCATGTGGAGGCCTAATTACAAGTTAACTTTCCAAAATCAATTTTACTAAAATGCTATTTCACCAAAGTCCATCCCAATTAACTAACAAGACATAATTTCATAAATCTCATTTTACTGAAATATTATTTAATTAATTATATAATACATTCATCCAAGAAAAAGAACTTTGTATATACATACATATATATGTACAATTTTTACAATTCTTGTGATCTAGTGATCAGATCTGCATAATTTTTAAAGTATGTATATAGCAGGCCTACCGAATTGATTGTATGAGCAATTAATTGCAATTTTTCAAGCTCAATTAATTAATTGGTGACGCAGTCACAATTAATCAATTAATTGCAATTTTACATATCGTATATTCACCACTATAATATGATTTTTGATTTTTTGCTGTTTAAAAGATAGGTTATACTAGTGAAAGAAAATTGAATTCAATTGCAATTAATTGCAATTATTTCATCATTAATTGGGTTTCAATTAATTTTATGATAATTTTAATTGATCTTAATTGTATAACATATAGCAAAAATTAATTTAAATTAATTTTTTAGCAGGCCTGGTATGTAGCGATCACAGATAGGAATTTTGGGTTTACTAATCCTCAAGTTTCTATTGGCGAATACAAATTTTGTCCCTCATTGAATGAAATAAATCACTAATCAGATAGCTTAAAAAATGCAAAAAAGTGTCAATTTGAATAATTGATTTGTAATTGTTATTTCAGTAAAAATTAAATATTAATTAAATATTTCTTATTACTTATTAATACTAGTACTCTCTGAATAAAAAAACTCCAGAAGCTCTTTTTTAGCAGTTTTTCTTGAATCGTTTTATCACAAACTAAAATAAACATACATAAGAGGACAGCCAAGTAGAAACTAAAATTTTAGCTTGATTTTTTATTATTTATCTTTTTTTCTCTTTATTTTTTATTTTAATTAAACGGGACTATAAAAAGCCACAGGTCTAAACTTTAATTTAATTTATTTTGGTTTAATTAAATTATTTTATTTTAAATTATTTTATTTTTAAATTATTTTGTTTTAAATTATTTTATTTTAAATTAAATTAAATTAATTTAATTTATTTTAATTAATTTTGATTTAATTAAATTATTGTTGTGGCTGATGCTAAAATTGACTGATGCTAAAATTTTGACCTATTTTATTATGAAATTTTAATTTTTTTTTAGTCTTATAATTAGGGATTCACTTATGTCAAGAAAATGATTTACAAAAATTAGGCTCGGAGCCAATAAAAATTGCAGGATCTTGCAGATCTTGCAAATACTAACGTAAATCTAAACAAACACTAAAAATAAAGAAATTATAAATAACACAAAATTTTACTATGGCAACCAGCCTTTATTTCTAAGTAAAAAATGTGTAGCATAGAATTTTACTTATAAAAAGAGTTTTTTATACTAAAATAAACAATATATATATATAATATTATCAAAAATTGGGTTCAAAGACTAGGTCCTA